ACCAGAAATCTCCCTGGTCCCCGGTGTGAAGAAACGATGCAGGAGGAAGACACACCACATATGGAGGCTCCCTACTGACAATCTCAGTGCTAGAGTTCAAGTCCAAAGACCATCATCTGGCAGAATTCTTTCTTGCTCAGAGAAGATCAGTCTTTGTTCTATTAAGGCCTTCAGCTGATTGGATGAGGCCCACCCACATTCTGGACAGCAGTCTTCTTTACTCCAAGTCACTGATTCAAATGTTAATCTCACCCCAAAACACCCGCACAGAAACACCCAGAAGGTTTACCCAAATGTCCAGGCACACGGCCCACACAAATTAACACACAAATCACACTAGCTCCGACGCCAGCCCCGGTGAATGAAGCCTTCTTGGATCCCCCAGCCCAGACTGGTCACCAGCTGAGTGTCAAGGAATAACCTCAGTCCATGCCACAAGGAGCAGAATAATCACCCAGCCATGCTCTTCCTGGCTCTTAACCCACAGAGTCCAGGACACTATGAAATAGTTATTTTAAATCACTGAGGTGCTTGTTATGCTCCAATCATAACTGGCACGGTAACTTTAACTCACATTACTTCCCCTCTCCCATAGCAAGCATCAGTTCCCCAGGCCATCACACATACAACGGCTCCTTTAGCTCCAGGGCCCTCTACCTGCTGTCTTCCCCGTCTGAAATATTGTTCCTCCGCTCTTTGCTTAGTCAGCTCCTCTGTCCTTTCTGCCTCAGATCAAATATTAATTCCTCAGAGAGGCCTTCCCTGACCACACTCTTTAAATTAGACTTCCCTTCAATGTCTATTTTTTTTCATTCTGTTCATTTTCCTCAAAATATGTATCTCAGTCTGAAATCACCTTGCTGCGTCTTTGGCTACTGTCTCCCCCCAATTAAAATATTCGCTCCATAAAGACAAGACTTTATGCACCCCATCTACTGCCCACACAGTGATAAGCACAGAACATGTGCTCAGTGAATCTTTCTGGTATGAAAAGTAATGAATGCTTATATCACACACAGGTGACTGACTTCTAGATTCTGTTTCTAGGCCTCAATTTACTAACTCTTTTATCACAGAATCTGAAAGAGGAGGATGAGTCCTCCCATGTGATACAAAGGATATTTTTCTCTGTCACTTCTTCTCTTTTTTCCCTCCTCTACCACTAGGGAACCAAAAACCGTAGCATTCTTTTACAATCCCTCAAAGACAAAACCCACTGCATTTTTACACTTGATTATCTATGTGGCTTATTTACATATTTTCTGAACTCTTCCAGATGAGTGAAAAGACAACTCTAAACTGAGAAAGAGAAGAAATGCTCTTTTTTCCTGGACATCCACTCTACTTTTAGCCTTTGAACAATACAGTCTCAGCCTTTAACGTCTCCTCCAGTCCCCCAGCACGGGGCTTACAGAGAACCTGGAGAAAGGGGTGGAGAAAGAAGCAGCCTCTCCCTTCTATGTTTCCCTTCCATTTTCCAGATCTTCCATACACGTGAGGAATGAAAACAATATGTATTTTTTCCCCTCACCTGAACTCAATCCAGACCCACAGGCCCTTTCTACCTACAGCCACCCTCCACACCCAGCAGCACCCACCCCAACCCTCTATACTCACCAATTCCCTTGTATTAAATATGTCTTTTCATTTTGTATTCTGGTGCTTTGACATTTGGGGCCTTGCTGATGCTAGAGAGACTGCCCCTCCCAGGGTAAGTCAATTCCTAGAGATAGTGAACAATTTACCTAGAAGTACGCTTTTCAAATATAAGCCAATCAATCTAGAGCCCACATCCCAACCACCTCCTCCATTGGGCTCTCACACTCTGGGCCACTATCTATTGCCCTAATCGCCCCAGGGCCAGATACCAGACCAATAGAAAGAGTCTATGTCCCAGGGCCTTCTGAAATTATTGCAACCAGCCAATCAAGGTCACCTGTTCCTTCCTACCAAAATCATGGGGAAGGCTCTTGCCCACAGTTCCCCCGTCTCCCTCTGCCTCCTGACTGACTCCAGTGCTTCTCCACGTACTCCCATCCCCACGACGGTGTGCTGTGCCCCTCCCCTTGGGAAATGAGTAACAAACTGTCTTTCCAGCGGCAACTGTCTCCTGATCCATTGACCTTACCTTACCTGCAATTGTCCATTAACACATTATATTTTAAAACATCCCACTAGACTGTAAGTGAAGCCAGTGCCTTAGTCATTTGGGAGACAACTCAGTCTACACTCTCAGTGCTCAGTATTTTAACTCTCATTTTAGCAAGATTCAAAAATGCTTGCATTAAATCACTGATCCTCTTAAGAAACACTTATTGATGCTTTGTGTGCACGAGGTATTGTGGAAGGCTCTGGAGATATGAGTACGAATTAAGCATGCTCTCAGGCTGGCTCCTGGTAAAATAGGGACTTGAAAAACATGCAAGAAAAGAAGGAATGAGTGAGTGTCTTCCTAGAGTTCACAAGCTAGAGCACATTACTGGCTGGATCCCCTGGTGTGTTTCCTTCATAAAATCATTGTCAATTTTGGAGGATTAAAAGTAGAATAAACTGACTTGTCTTGTTCTGTTCCATTCTTTACATGACAAGCTTCTGAGATTGAGAATCTGAAAGACTATTCAATTTTTCCAAGTTATTACCAGATTTAATAAGCCTTCTTTGGAACATCTTCACAAAAATACAGCCTAACTATTCCTCAGAACAGCCTGAGGAAACTGTTGTTCTGGGGACAGAACATAAATATAATATTATTAATAACAATGAGCACTTACTGAGTTCTTAATATATGACAGACATTATGCCAAGCATGGGGTATGCATTTATTTAATCCTTGTAGCATTTGTATTATCATCCTTATTTTATAAATGAGGAAACTGAAGCTTAAATAGGGTGAATGAGTTGCTAAGAGTACCACAGCTATAAAAGGTAATGCCAGGATTTGAATCCAGGCAGTATCACTCCAGAGTCTACTTGTTAAACAACTAATTCTAGACAGGAGCTAAGAAACTATATAATTTTCTAAAATTGTATTGATTAGGCCCATTCTTAAAGTCTATTTAAGAATTTGGACCAATCTTTATCCCAGGAGAAATTCTACCCATTCAAAATGTTGCTACTTCGTGTACAATATTTGAGTACACCAGAATCTCTCTTCAAATAGTTCATTAGAATTTATTTTTAAGCTTGCTTTGCCTGGCCACCATCCACAGAGGTCTAGTTGGTTATACAGTAAAATGAGCTACTTAAAAACAAACAAACTCCAGAATTGTTCTCCAAAAACTCTACATAAAACAGTAGCAAGTTTCAGTAACTGCATTCATATATAGAATGCATTTTAGGACTCAAGCTGTTATGAGTGACTTCTCTTTCTTGTTAGTGAATCTTAAGGAACGTAGTCAACATCTTGTAACAACGATTGCCTGCCTTAGCTTTCATTATTCTACTTCTAACAGTCTGGTTTAATGTACACCAGAGAGGTCATCTCCCGACCTGACTTGCTGCACTGAGGGAAAGGTATTCCTCTCTGTAAGACACTTATATCCTCACAGGCCAGGCACTGGGTGTGCTCTGGGGAGTCTACAACTTCAGTCACCTTGAACTTCTAATATTTCTTAAGGCCCATTTGCAGGAAAAAAATTCACAGGAAACCCCAAGTACCATGTACATTTCAAATCTGCTCCTTTGTTTCCCTATGTGTATGATTACAGATTAAACAAAATTAGCAAAATAGGCAATTGAAATTTTTCTGGCACCTTAAGTTTCAAAATTCCTAATAGAAACACTGAAAGCTTCTTCTTTTTCCTCTCCCTCATCCAAAAGAGAATCAATGAGTTGCTGAGTAAGGCTTTTGATTTCTTGCCAAACCTGACGCTTCCTAAGACACTAGTCAAATAACATTTACTACTTCTTTTTTAAAGATCCAAATCTCCCCATGCCAGCCTAGAGTAGAGGGAAAAGATACATCCCGAAGGGTTTCTTTCATTCCACAACAAGCATTTCCTGAGTGCCTACTATGTGCCTGGATGTGTTCTAAGGCCTTCAAGATAAAGCAGTGAACCGACATCCTACAGTACTTGCCAGTTATGTGAAATTCTCACTGGAACCAAATGACAGCGCAGAACACTTAAAACTCTATTCAGAATCTTGTTAACTTTGGATCAGACGAAACCCCAGGAGTCTGAAGACTTTCAGCTGCCTCAGGCTCTGTTTCCTACATTCAATGGACCAGGGTACTTAACAGGAGTTGCAGGGAAGCCATGTGACTCCCTCATATTTATATGCAAAGTTTGGTGCACATTTTCGGGGCCAGGTTCTATAGCTTACCTCGGTTCTCAAAAAGGTCCGGGATCCTACAAAGATTAGAAGCATTCCCTTAATATACCCATGATTCCGTTCGAGGAACCCAAGGGGCTGCACTTGCACGTCCTTGCTAAAGGTCACTTTTTGAACCCAAAAGTAATGCCAAGTAGACGCCACACTGGCCGCCACTACTGCACACCCGGCTCAGTCCTTCCCGCACTTTAGAACTTGACCTCCATAAAGCTTCAGACTGGAAAGTGGCCCACTGCCTCGGAAAGGGAGCGAGTAACCCGCAGGCCGGGAAGGAAGGAGATGTGCGTTCCCGTCCTGCTCTACTCCTGAATAGAATTCCGGTAAGCAAACCACGCGCCTCACTTTTGACATCTGCAAGTAATAGCCAACACTAGTTCTCAGCACCTGTCTGCCTGGAGCGCCAAAGTTCTCTGCGCGCAAAAAAAAGGGGCACAATTGGATCCACCTAGGCCTTTTCGGCACCGGCGAGGTAGCCCCGCACTCCCCCTCAGCTCGCTGTCGGGGCTGCACATCTACCCAGAACCACCGGGAGCGCACCCCGCGCCCCATCCCCGCTCCCTGAGCGCACGCGGCCCCCACCTCCTCTATCCCCCAACCCCGCCGCGCGCGCGCCAGAAGCTGCCACTTCGGAGCGGGACTCGCGTGCGTGGGTCGCGCTAGTACTTCACCGTCAGTCACCGTCGCGTCCGCCTCGTCCCCTGCCGGGTGCACCTCCAGCCGCAGAGGCTTCGGGTCGGGGAGCGAGAGGGGCCCTGCGGCGAAGAGCTGCTCCTCGGTGACGAAGCGCAGTTGCACACGGTAGTGCCGGCGCGTCGGGACCCGGGAGAGAGCCGGGGCCGCGGCCATGGTGCGAGCGCCTCCGCCCCACGCCGCTCCGCGCGCCGAGAACCTGCCGCGGGAAGGGGAGGGGCTTGGAAGCGCTAGCACCTTCCTCACCTCCGCCGCAAGTTCGCCTTTCCAGCTGGGAGGCGCCCGCTGGCTGGAGCTGCGCTCGCCGTCCTGCACATCACATCCCCTCACTCCACCGGGTGCCCGGCAGCCGCTGGCTCATGGCGACCCCCCGCACACGGGGCTGCGTGCGGTAGATGCGCAGGAGGGCGCAGCGCACAAGTTTTGCTAGCGCGTGAGGCACCTGGAGGCAATTGGGGTTTGGAGGCAGAAGGGTGACACCTGCTGTTCGCTGACACCGCGCGGCGGGCGTGGGCGTCAGTTTGGAACAGGCCTTGGCCCGGAATTCTCTGAGATGGGCACTGGTTCTCTGATAGTTTCTGGGGCTACTGGCGCCTACGTGTGAGCGGCCATCCCAAGTACTGAGCTCTTATTGACAGGGTCCCGACATCAGCAGCCAGGCAGTGGGGAAGCCCGGGAACATTCCACCGACTGGCTTGTCCCCAAATGACATTCATCTTGCATCACCTAACTCGGAATTGAAAACTTACTTGCTGCTGCATTGTGAATCATATTGCTAGACGTGGACTGCGGGGGCCAGGGAGTCTCATCCCCAAGTTGACGCCTGACTCCAGCTCCCTCACCTGCCCAGCTGGCTCCAAAGCATCAAAGGATAGAGGGTCAAAACCAAATCACACGCTGTCTTCTTTGCGCAGAAATTGGCCTTCTGCTGCAGAGGGTTAAGAAAAAAGCAGTCCTTCTTTTGAAGAGAGTCCCCCCAGTTGTAGACTCGGGTGCCAGAAGGGGAAATTTTCTTCAAATTCTGAACCAACTTATGTGTCCTCAGTCTGTGACCTCCTGACAGAATGTACTGCAGGCAGGAAGCAAGGAGTGTAAATCCATTTGGATTCCATAAGACAATGTCCTTAACCAAGCAGGCTGACTTTACAAGAATGCGCTTCCCTAGAGGCTCTGGGGTCTGTAACTTAAGAATCTCCAACTGTACTGTCAAACCCAGCCAGGCTTTCTGAAATCCCAGGTCGCATTTTTCTCCCCACCCCATCCCACCTCCCATGTAGCCCTAGTTCCTGATGAGGCCTCTCTGGCTCCCCCCTTTATTCCCTCCCAAGCCTTTCTCTTCCCTGCTTCTCTGTCTCTATCATCCAAGTACCCTGCTCTTCCTTCTTATCTCATTCTCACATCTACTGCCTCATGGCTTTGATTTGTGCCGGGAAGCCCCCGAGAATCAGAAATTCTTTAGAGTCGGAGCTGTGGAAAGGGTTTCTGGTGTGAAGACCCAGGAACACCTGCATTCGTACCCACTCCTACTGCATTATTCTGCCTCTTTGCTTCCAGCCACCTCAAAGCATTTTTCCTGCCTTCCTCATTTCTTTTTACCTTCTCAGGCCCTAACTTGATGGAACTAAGTATTTTTGTGCTACCCGAGACCCTCCTGGGTCCTCTTTATCCTCCTGTCAAAAAAGCTTGTTCAGCTTTCACATGCTGTCAGCTGTCAAATTGAAAAGTAAGTCCTGGGAGAGAAGACTAATTTATACTAAAATGTGAATGATGGATGAAAATGACTCATAAAGCACCTCTAAAAGGGCAACATAATGACCTTAGTAGAATTCTCACCACTCTCTCAAGAAACCTGGAGTCCTGTTACTTAAAACAAACGAACAAACAAACAAACAAATGTAAAACACAATGGTAGTCTTTCCCCCACATTAATGCAGGGGGCAAAAATCCAACTTAGGCTTATCGGAGAAAAAAGTCCAAACAGTCACCACAAAGCTGGGAAGTCTAAGCTTTGATCATGACTAGACTTAGGGACCCCAATAAGGTTGACCAGATGGTCTTGTCTCCATCTTATAGAGAGGCTTTAGTCGCATGTTGGGAGCTGTCACTGATTTACAACCCTTTAGCGAAGGCAGGGTCCCTTCTCTAACTCCAAATCAGGTTGAGTCATTTAAAAATGACTGATTTGCTGTGATAGGTCTACCCAACTTGGGAGTTAAGACTAGGGAGACTGGAAACCTTACCAAATTTGCATCACCTGAAGGACAAATGAACCAGATAACCAAAGGAAGGAGATAGCTGGAATGACAATCCACGGTAATTATGTCATCTAGAGAAATAAAAATGCCATATGACATCATTTATATGAAGAATCTAAAAAAATAATAAGGATATAAATGAACTAATTATTTTGATTTCTTGAATATGTGTCAGCACATTTGACTATCTTTTATGATTGGATTACAGCATTCTGTTGATTCTTTTTTTTTAACATTTTTTATTGATTTATAATCATTTTACAACGTTGTGTCAAATTCCAGTGTTCAGCACAATTTTTCAGTCATTCATGGACATATACACACTCATTGTCACATTTTTTTCTCTGTCAGTTATCATAACATTTTGTGTATATTTCCCTGTGCTATACAGTGTAATCTTGTTTATCTATTCTACAATTTTGAAATCCCAGTCTATCCCTTCCCACCCTCCACCCCCCTGGTAACCACAAGTCTGTATTCTCTGTCCATGAGTCTATTTCTGTCCTGTATTTATGCTTTGATTTTGTTTGTTTGTTTGTTTTTGTTTTTGTTTTTTAGATTCCACATATGAGCGATCTCATATGGTATTTTTCTTTCTCTTTCTGGCTTACTTCACTTAGAATGACATTCTCCAGGAGCATCCATGTTGCTGCAGACGGCATATGTTGTCGGTTTTTATGGCTGAATAGTATTTCATTGTATAAATATACCACCTCTTCTTTATCCAGTCACCTGTTGATGGACATTTAGGCTGTTTCCATATTTTGGCTATTGTAAATAGTGCTGCTATGAACACTGGGGTGCAGGTGTCATCCTGAAGTAGGGTTCCTTCTGGATATATGCCCAGGAGTGGGATTCCTGGG